TATATATATATATATATATATATATATATGTATATATATATAACGGCTATTCTATACCACAAATAACCAAAAAATTACAATGTTTATAAGTTTTTTAAAAAATAAAATATCTGAAAAGAAGGAATGACTCACACCAACGCTTGCATCTTCTCGTACTTTTACTTCAACCCATGTTCTGTGCACAATTAATCGATCAATCTGAATTTGAGAAATACAGTCTTGACAAAAAGAACCTAAAAATCCGACATTTTCAATAGTACAAATCAAGCAACAGTATCTATACTGAACAACCAAATTATATAAATCCTGACCAAATAGACCACTTACAGTGCCTTTCTCCAAATATTCAGTGTAAAATTCCTTCCAAGATATTTCTTTACCTTTGTTCGCCAACAGGAAAAGTGCAGCAAATGCCGCTATGGCTGCTAAGACAGCTGATAATCTGAATAAATTTTAAATCTGCTTAGAACAAATTGTAAACAATGATGAGTAAGCATAAGTAATTTACATATTGTTAAATAGGAAACTTTAATAAGCAGATTAAAACCAACGGCGGCATCGGTATGTCCGGGAAACCAGGAGGACGTTTGCCCCGACTTGGATTTTCAGACGGTTGGTTGTCACTGTTTTCTTTACGAGAAGATTCACTGGCTTGTTTATCGTTTTTTTCCTTAGTGATTTTTCTTGCTGTTTTCAAATTTTTTTCGACTAAAATCAAAACTTATTAAATAGGTGCCGGAGGTTAATGCATATCACCAGGACAAATTAACAAGTAATAAATGGTTATTCATACTGCTGAAAATAGCCGAACATGCAAGAAATAAACCTGACCAGAATTACTAAGTAGTCTTACTGGGCTAGTGTTCACAAATCAAGACTACAGGAGGCATATGTTGCAGTTTCCGCAAGTAGCGAAACTATTTCAAAAATGGATGACAAATAAAAACAACGAAATCTAAACAATTGTTTTGGTTGCTCAAAACAAGTAATCATATGTTGAGTATATTTTTTTTAATTTGTAAAAAACAAAACTAAATTAAAACCGGAAAATAAGTGAACGAAATGTAGCGGTAAACATGGCGATGTCCACATGAAGCTAGACTGCAGAGATGTCACGCCATCATTAACCTCATATAATAGTGATTTTTAAATAGCGTTGTAATGATTGATTCGCTCATTGGAAAAATAATTGGTAATTCAAAGCTTATGAGAGTTGATGAACAACTAAATAATTTCGTAAATAAGTGATTCGTCTCAATGATTTCCATAACGATGCGCAAAACAGAATTCGAGAAATTTCAAAACATCTGACTCAAAAACAGCCCACTTACCAAATTACCGACTGAGAAAGCAAAAAGAATTACATAACCCACCTAAGTCAGCTAGCAAATATTATTTTTTCTAACCTTCCATAAATAGAACAGCTTCAAGTTTTGAAGGGTAAAATAAAAAAATGTAAATATGCATATATACATAAATATGCATATATACACCACAGAGGTATTCAACTGAAAAAAAAGTATTCATTGGCCTAGAACTTCTAATTCATGATTAATATATGTCTTGTCATACTTTGAGAAAAGATTCTAAACATAATACATTGGTCTAATAAATCGTCTATGAGTTTTTTCCTTGCAAAGCGAACGTATTGTAATGACTTCAAAACCACATTCCATTCCCAGGTCTGAGATCTGTTTTGCAGCAATGAGAAAATCGAAACTTCCGGAACGATAGTATCCTTCAAAATTATTCTTTAATATATCTGACAATTATCAATTTCAAAGTTTATAAATTCAAAACGAATAAGTACGGAAACGATCAAAATCAAGAGAATTCAATTTAATTGGCAAATGAATTTTCAGTTGTTTACATTGTAATCTCACTTACTATTTAAATGCGCAATCTGCGACACGAAAGAAATGATTGTTAAATAAGTAAAAGCGCAAACCTTCTGAAACGGAGTACTAGTAAGTGATGCTTTCAGCTGTGCACATCCATTCTCATGGACTTTACATCGCAGTCGATTTAGCGTATCAATAAGGCGACGCTCCAAACGTATCATATCTAAACCAGTAAGTAATTGGGTTAATTTTCACTGCAAATGATAGTAATATGGAAGATTTTATGGCCAAATAATCCCATAGTAAGGATAACCACCAGCCTTGGACAGCCAGTACCTAACACTTCTAATCATCCTCCCCTATTCGCTCTGTCCGATCCATCAAATTGCGAATTGTGCGGTTCGTCCGAAATGAACATATGCTGCAATTATGGGCGCAGTTTTGTTTATTTTTGCGGAATGCCGGGTGTTACTGGTAGGTTGTATAGGAAGTTAGTTGTAAGAAGCAGATTTTACTAGCAGGTTTTGCAAGTTATCACTCTGGATGGACTGATTCCTTCCTCGTAATTGTAATCGGCACACTGGACTGGATAGATTGATATCAATGAATGAATTGGAAAAGGAATAATCATTGCAAGCAGTAGATCATCCTCATCCATTTAATAATGCTAATTTTTGCTCGATATTCTTTCATCCTGACGCACTTCATTTTGCACTTGAGGATTATTGTTGTAAATTAGAAACAATTACTTCAAAACATGGTGGAAATTGACTGATGTCATCGTAACAAAAATGTCAGTCAACTATTTTCGAGACATGCAGCCAGCAAGTGCTATTGTAGTGGATCGCAGATTTGGGTCAAATGGTTTGCTTTATCTTCAGTATTCTTTCAAAAAACGCCACTTCTGAATTTTGACGCATGAACGAATACAGAATCGCTTTTCAATTTTGAGAGCACATCATGACTAATATAAAAAATAAGTCTTGACCAAAATAAAATGAGTTCTGGTCGGCACTTAATCTTTCCTGGAAACTTCATTAATTTCCATCCTTATTCTATGGTTCTTCACGTTTGCAGTTAGTCTGTAGCATGTTCCGTTAGATCAAATTGGATGTATTTCAAATTCTGAATTTCTTAATTCTTAGCCATTCTTCAAAGCAGCATTTTCATATTTTCGGTAAATTTATTCTTTTTTGTTGTTGAGCATCATTTCCTGGTTCTTTTGGAGATGATCAGTTGGTAGATCCATTCTCGACAAATACGCCTTTTGGACCTGTTTCTACAGTACCAGCAACACTTTCCAAACCACCTACTGAAAACGCATTATCGCCACGAAAACCGTATGATCCTTTGGCTGGCGCATCTATTGGCATCACTGAGTATTATATTAGAATAAATTTTGAAAATTTTTAACTTTTCTTATCGGAATAAATTTTGAAGACCTTTAGTAGCTAAAAAAATATTAAAAAAGATTAATATCTTTTTGCATTACATAAAGATATCATTAATTTCTCACAAATTTATTTCAGTTTGGTTGCGAAAATATTCATAAGTCATCCATGTACAGTTTTGAGACGGCAGTGTCAAGTTCATCAATTTGCCAGATCACTTCATCTTACGCCTTTTACTTTAATCCCTGTCGTTTATAAAATAGTTAGCTGTGAGGTTAGTGAAAACTTGATGAGGTTAATGAAACACGTTATCTATTTCTCAAACCATCTCTTATAATGCATTGATATTGGTAGTGTTGTAGTTTTTGTTTTCCAGCAAGTAGAAGCATTCATGCATTTTTTTACTTAAAATTACTAAAAAAAATTAGAATTTGATAATCACTCTTAAGCCCGGAACGTTGTAAATTCAGGGACTTCTAACTTTATGGAAGGGTGCTGTTGGTTCAGGTGTTCTTTGGGGTTTATCTATTGTTGGCGAAATATTGCTTGCCGATATATTTGGTCTTCCACGGTTTGTTTTTATCTTAGTGAGACTTGCTTTTTAATATTTCATCCTGATATTAATCGTCTGGTGAAACTTCGAGTAATTTCAGGCATTATATAAAGCAAGGAAGCGTTAAGAAGTATTGTCACCACCTTATTTTAAAAGCGTAAGTGCTCGCCTTATACTTTGATGTCAGTTCTCCTGTTTGAATAATACCTTGAAGCGATATTTACTTTTTTCAGTTCAACTACAGTTTGCATAACTCCATTTATTGTGTCAACTTTCATCGAAACTGTCAGGGTAAGTAAATTGATTTTAGTAGGGAAAGCTTGAGGAGGAAGTTTTTGATCACTAATATAGTTTTGAGAGGAATGGAGGATGTGACATGTGTATCTTAAATTTTCAAAATTTTGCAGGGAAAAAAATTATGTCAGCATTTGTTTAATGGATATAGTGACAAACCTGTTTTACAGTTCAGATTTTCGAATTCTGGCAACAATATTGGATGATTAAGTAGAAATGTATCTTCATTCTTTTTTGTCTGCGTGACAGGTGATGGAAATCGCATTTTGGACTGCCTGATTGAAATCAATAAAGTCACGATGTAAAAGTAACTTTGTAGAGCGAAAGTGGTCGCTGTGATGAGTTCCATATAATGGATATAGTGACAAATGGAATAAGTCGTTTGCGACTTGACTTTATTGGGCCAAGAGATAACAGTAAACGTTTCTCGTTATTATACCTTTTAATACCGACGACTTGTTTATTCACGTCGCACTATTTGATAACGATCAGTATCTATGACTGGATATACGTTTTGGCCAGACGATATGTTGTAAGTGCATTCTGTGCTTCGATTTCTTACATTTCATTTGGTGCAAGAATTAAGTTCAATTCATATTTTCCAGTTTATAAATTTAGAGAAAGGGACTAGAATACATTGCATGCACGGCGAATTATTTTAGAATCGCAAACCGTTGTATGAGAAGACTGTTTTTGATCATCATTTTCCGCAGATATTTGCAACCTTGACATCACAAATGCTTGCTGATTTTGTCTTATACCCATTCGAAACAGTAGTTCACCGTCTTTATATTCAAGGTAAAATTCCGAGCACTTCATAAAAAGAGCATAATCATTTCAAAATCTGATTCAAGGTCTTACTTTGTTAGTTTTGAGTAAGTTCCAGGAATCATTGAAGTTAAAATTTTAGGAACACGAACATTAATAGATAATCTAGATAATGGTGTCACGGCTATCTCAATATTGGCAAAATATGTTGGATTTTTTGATTGTTTGAGGACAGTCATAAATCGAGAAGGCTTCTGGTCTCTTTATGCGGTAAGTCCAATTTGGATAACTTCATCCTGTTGTTGTTATAAGCTTCATTTTGAAATGATTGACCTTAAATTTACCTGACAAACTGAGGAAGCATTCCAGACACTAGTATTCTGCAGTTCTTTGTGGCTTACCTGTCATACAGATGTACTTTTGGCTGGTTTTAAAATGTTATTTTCAATTCTTTGTGAAATATTTCCCTTGTCACTTTTAGCTTTTCCTTTCAAACTTCAGCTACGAACCATGAATTCATTAAAGATAATTTCTTTTCCTTCAGGGTGTTGGAGCACTTGGTTTACAGTTCGCTTTACATTTATGTTTGCTTCGTTTTATTCGGATAATGGTTAAATACGGGAATCGGGCGATTAATGCACAGCAACTAGAGGGTATTGCTGCGACTAGCAGTACATCATCCCATCGATTGACGCCTCTGCAATTCGCTGCATCACCTCCCGGAAATACTGCAACTGAATTATCCGCACCCCCTACAGACAGCATCCTTGTTAGTTCTGGAGCAAGGTTTGTGTGCTAGTTCTATTTTCAAAAATTTTACAAAACTCATTACGCTCTACCGCAGCAATTTTTCAAGGTTAACAGTTTGTAGAGATACGCAGCAAATAGCCATATTTATTTTTACAATGTTTTTTTTCTCACGAATCCTGCAATGTTTTGCATCATGATTTTTTTTACTGAAAATTTCTTTTAATATTTACAGTTATCCAGCTTTTGGACAAACGATCAGTACGTTTGGGCGTACTTCACCTCCACTATTTGCTTCACCTACACTATTTGCTTCTTCTGCATCAAATATTCTCGCGAATTGGCCATCTACGTTTTATCCAGAAACAAATACCAACCATTAGTTTTGAAATATACACCCTTCAGCCATGAATGCTTTTTTCATAGTGGTTTAAGATTGTTGTTACAAGCTCAGAAGTTATGGAAAGTTCAATTTTTAGACCTGTCAAGTAGCGGTTATATTATTTGTGTAGTTGTTGAAAAAAAATACCAAAAACGCGTTTTACTCGGAGTCGAAAATGGGGTAACGTCAAGGAAGCTATAATGTCCTGTTCAGTTTGGCTGAATCTAATGATTTATTGCCTAATGCATGACTGAGGCTATTTAGTGATGTTGGAATGACTTTTATAATCGAAATCGAAGTATAATTTTTTCAAATTTTAAGGCATGTCTGTGTTTTATGCAAATTTAAATTTCAGTTGGAATTTGTTTAAATTTAGAGAAATCCTATTTGAAGAAATCGTATCTTCCCATTGCTTAATTCTCTTTTTGTGACTTAAATGATTTTTATAGTTAGAATAAAATGAAAGGACGAGTGAGCTGATTAACATTTGGTTAACTAATTTACATTATCATAAAATAAACATTAATAATCGAAGATACGTTCGTGATGTTTAATAAATATCTTAAAATATTTAATACGGTAGAACGTTTTTAAGTAAATGACTTAACTACATTACTGTTGTGAAAAATTATTTCTTTTCATCGAGTCGTTTAGATTTAGAAGGTTTAGCCTTGAGTTAGGATCAAGCAGAAATTTAATTAAAGGGTACCTTGTGAGGACGTCGAATATACGTTGTGAGGACATAGTAAAAATTACTGCTTTATTGATATAATACAGAGCTGACCAGTGGGATTACTGAAGAGTAACGAGTAAGAAATCGCTTGACCGTGAGTCAACGCAATCGTAAATAATGAACTATGGAAGAGCACCAACAAAGAGGATTTATATGTCTTGAGAAGTAGGAGTGGTTTACATTAAACATTCAAGCACCGGAAACACACCAGAAACGGTACAAGCATTATAACAAGATTAGATAGGAAGATTAGCATGGGAAATTAGGTTTTAAGGAATGTAAATTACTGAATAAATGCAGTGATGAATCATTAGAAATATTCTAAGCGTTTAATGTGTAATAAATTCTCTCGGTTTTCCGACAATTACTGATGTGGATAATATTCACCGCACTCTTGCTAAAGATGAAGTTTTTGATCACTTTAAGCTGAATCGTGGTTAGTGAAGAGCAATGCGAAAACAAAAGGATATAACTTATGTTCTTTTTTCTGAATACTGGATTGCTTGAATGTTATGAAGCCCTATTCTTGAAGAAATTCTCTGCGGGGATAAAACAGCCACAGAAATGTAAACTGCGGAAATGTTACTTCTACTCATGCCCAAAGTTTATATATATGTCAATAATGTCACATCATCGACAATACATCACTATTCTGGAGAGTGGGTAACACACATCAGTCAGTCATTACTATTGTTGGTAAGTGTATTCATAAGGACTGGTCGGAAATTTGAAAAAACACTATTTAAAGGTAGCCTTTCAGCGAAATATTACTGAGAACACATTATCCTTACTGAAAAATTGAAGAGTAGTCTTAAATCTTTATGTCAACGTTTCTACCCTAAGCAGAAATCGAAGTTCACCAACCTTTTTTTTTGCTCTGTATTGGGATTTGCAAAGCATATCCAATAAAATCCATTCTGCTTATTAAATTTCACTCTGACACTGTTGCTATCTGTATAACGGTCATTTGTACTTTGTTGTTATCTGTACAATAATCATTTGTACTTTATTGTCTGCAAAACAATTACCTGAACACCTCTACTTTGTTATCTGTATAACAATCATTTGTGCTTTGTTGTCTGTACAACAGTCACCTGTCATCGTTCGCCGTAGTTAGACTTCGCAAAATGAAAGACATGTCAAGGGTCATACTCAACTTGCTGCAAACGCACTGATGGCTAAATAGGCCAGTGTAAGATAGGCAAATTCGTTGCCAAACGCAGAGTGGAAAGTCTCCATAGCCGGTATTGGTGAAGCATGGTTTTTTCTGCGGTGTCTTCTCGAGGCTGATTACGCGTTTTCTCAAAGGGATTAGAAGCGTTATGGATGATGTGTCTCCATGTCTCTTGATTCGAGAAAGAGTGGACCAGCGATGGTAGTCTACATGAATAAAGCTAAAGTATTGTTTCAGTCCCTTGTATCTTCTCTGAGGCCCTTTTGCGGAAGCCGGCATTTACTTTACCATGGAGCATAATCTTAGGGAGGCGGTGATCCTCCATTTATGGTGATATGAAGATAGTTTTCCTGTGGTGCAGACTGGTAGAGAACTTCTATCTTCAAGATTGACTTCTAGTTCAAAAGCTTGCAAGATGTGCAAAGCAAGATGTTGAGCGTTGCAGAGTTGTTTCTGTGTAAGTAACGAAGGCGGCATCATATCGGCAAAAAGCTAGGTCTCGAAAGTGATGGTTTAAGATCTTATATAGACTTCCAGTCGCCTTAGACTGAACAGTTTCCCATCGATACGATATCGGTTGTAAATGCCATTTTCTTTATCGAGTCTGCTGTGGCTCTTTGAAACATCATGCTGAAGTAGATTATGAAGAGAGTTGATACAAGAACGCAACTTGTTTCACCGCATTGATTATCATAACAGCTTTGAGAGTGCATTGCTATATCTGACTTCGCCGTATTAATTCTCATGTAATAGCATGATCATTTTCAGGAAGTTCGGAGGACATCCCAGTCCTTCCAAGATCTGCCACAGACCTTTTTTGCTCACAGTGTTAAAAGCTTTGATGAAGTCTGCGGAGATTATTTAGAGTCCTTTGTTCTCCCTGCATTTCTCTTGCAGTTGTCGAACAAATACCATAATCTGGGGTACTCCTATTTGGCTTTGAAGCCGCTTTGGTTTTCACGTAGTCCTTCTGAGATAGCGGATACTAATCTGTTCAGAAGTATTCTTGCAAGGATTTGACCGCAATATAAAGCAAAATAATTCCTCTGTTATTTGACAGTCCGATTTTCCTCCTTCTTATACAGGTGATAGTGTAAATCACGAAGATCTGGTCTGGTGGTAATTCGCCTTTTTCCCAACGTCACACAACGAGCTCGTGAAAAATAGCATGTGCTTGATCTCCATACTTTCCAACCTCAGGTGGGACACCATCAATCTCAACTGCCTTTCCAGTTCTCACCTGTTGTATGCCTAAAACAAGTGATTGATACACGTGTTTATATAGTAGGAGTGGCATACAATGTTCCCATCAAGTACATATTTACCCTTCAATAGACCGGAAGATTTCAACAGAGGAGCTTTGTTGGTTATAGTAATTCGGCATGGGAATATAAACTTGGTTAATATATTAGAACATCTTTAACAAGAAATGTTGTCTGCACCACAAAAGGTTTTGTGTCTATAACCTAGACATTGTAGTTAAAACAGCGAAACAAATCAGTGGAGATCGTCAAAAAATTAAACATTGAAAATAAATTTGATTATCAGTTTAGAAGATGAAAGCTGGAAAGAAGAAACATTACTTTAAGACTATCTAAAGAATTATTTAAAATTACTTGCTGTAAGATATTTTAAGGGAACCCACTTTAAGTTACCTTACTTTACTTGGTTTAAGAAAACATTACTTACTTTAATATGGGAACACTTATATTATTGTTTTTGCAGTGAATTCAATCATTAAAAAATATTCAAATCAAATCATTTTGAACCGCAATTAAACCGTTTTCATATTGTTATAAGCTTACATTGAGAAAGTTTCGATCTGATGAAAATCCTTTGGCTTTTCCCGACAGAGCCCTCGGTAAAAACCGAAATACTTTTAATATAAAAATAATGTCAAATAATGTATAGATGTACAATTCAACTCGTATTGTGAGGGGTTGTAAATCAACTCAACATGAGTTGATTTACAACCCCTCACAATACGATTTACTCACGTTGATTATTGTCGCGAATTTCAATATCGCGAAGTTCCAAATAAATAATAAAATAATTTTCTTATTCAAATTGTAAATGAATGTTAACAACACTTACACAATTTTTTCCTCATGCTTAAAACATGAGTCAGCTATCAAACCTACTAAAAGAATTTTTCCCTTTGATGTTGAGATTTGTTCACATATGGTAACTGATTTGTAAAGGCTTTATCCCATGCAAAATCTTTTATACAATGGTGAGAAAGCTGTACATCTGATAAAATAATTTCTATGCAATTTTTTCTAAATAAAACTGTTCTTATATGTAAATTTCTCTTGCACCCGTGAGAATACTTGATATATAATGATTGTTCCTCTTTACACACCCGATATATAAACCCTAAGAATCTCTAACAAGGTTAATGATGAAAATTTTTCTCCACGTCGCAACTCAACGCTACTCAATACAATCCGGACTGATTTCCTCTCTAATTTTCGAATCTTCAATATTTCTCCCGTTGTTCTATATTACTTCATTCTACTACAAACAGAATTACTTCAAACCTGGTTTTATTGTATTTGTTATTTGTACAACAATAAAGGATAACTATTATAATCCTCGAACACATCACCAATCGGTATTCAGTAAGTCACAATTTTTATAAAGAATAACTGCTTTACGACTAACAAGAACAGATACCTCATCTTCTCACTCTTTTAAGATTTTCTTCCACGACAATTATCAAGTACATACACAATGTCGGTATATTGTAAAGAATCTCAAGTCAATGACGACATATCGTAAAGAACTTCAGGTCATCTTGGAATCAATCAATTCTAACTTCCTAGATTGTTGTAAACAAATTCCCACTATATAAGGGATATCAAGAAGCACGGGAGATTACACATAAGTCATCCCATACAAGTCATTCTGCGTGGTTATTCTACAAGAGGTCATCCTACAATTCAGAGTTTCTACAATTCAGTAGTATTTAATATTCTCTGGAAAACTCTCTTGTAATGTATCATACCTTTCCGTCTATTAATAAACCGTAGTCAACCCGTATTCGACTGAGCTTACATCAAAAATTCCCAAAACTTTTAAAACAGACCTTTGGATTACACGGTTGGCATTGAAAAGAGTTTGGAAATCTTCGGACCAGACTGATTCAAGAGGCTGGCGGTTTTGTCAGTGAGAAGCGTTTGGCCATCTGCGCTGGTTGGAGAATTTTGAGCGTGGTGTATGGGTCTATACGCAGCTTTCACAACCGCATAGAATCCTCTGCGGTTACCCGAATCTGCGCACAGTTGAATTTTTCTGCTAGGCTGATTCATCATTTGTTCTGGATGTCTCGAAGTTTCTGCTGGAGCTTATTTGCATGCAAGGCGAAAAAGGTTCGAATTTCTTATATGGCAAGATGGCTTAGTGAAGTGTGCTTTGTGAGCAGTTTTCTTTGTCAGTTTCTGGATCTCTTGACTGTTTTCATTAAACCAAACATTGTTTCTCTTAAAGAAGAATCCCAAGGATTCCACGGAAGGCTGAAGATGTTTTTAATATGTTGCCAAAGGCTTCAGGAGAGGAATCTGTGGGATGGTCTCAAAGTCTTGTTTGAAGGTTTAGCTGGGAATTGTGTTTCACTGTAGCCGTTGATAACCATTAATAACTTTTCCATGATAACTTCGAGCCTCCTATTTGGGATTTCGCCCTCCTCAGGTTTACATTTAAAGTACGCAAGGTTTTCTTGACATTCTACACTAAGCATCACTCGGGTTTGTCTCTCCCTCCTCTCTCTCTCTCTCTCTGGCGCACTAAGATAGTCTATAAGGTGCTATTGCTTGGATCGAGGACGCATCCGGGTTTTTTTAAGCTGTTTTTGCTGAAAGATAGTAGTTGTGATGGTGAATTGCTGCTCTGCACCACAAAGGCAGTTTCCAACATCATGCTTGCCTAATATCCCTTTCTACGTTTCGGAGCTTTTTCCAGCTCTGGCGTTGAAGTCACTAAGGATTATGATTTAATCCTTTGCAGATGAAACGACGTAGATCGGTGTAGAATTTATCTTTTGCATAGGTTAGCTTGCAGAGCTGGAACAGATATGCTGAAGAGAACAACTTGTTACTTGTTGTGCACTAGTGAGAAGAATGACCTACCGGCATTTTCATGAAGTTTTTAACTATGAAGCCAACTCCTGGAAGGTGACTTTCGGTTTTAGGTTTTCCTACCAACAGAGTGTATAGCGCACCACGTTCTTTGGAGCTGCCGTCCTTATGAAGACGAACTTTGCTGAGCAGCAGTTGTCAAATTACTGAAATTAAAATTATGTTAAAATATTAGCTAGACAGGATGATGGAGTCCTGCAAGTAAATTGAAGATGAGGAGGGATATAAGCTAACCATGGAGGGACGTCATAAAGAGATTTTAGTACTTAAGCGCGATTGCATTATGAACTATGCAAAGAAGAACCATATCTCAATGATAACTCCCATTACCCCAAAGCTCCTCCTATAATCCTACAGAGTCAATTTGTTTGCAATAGACACGCATTACACTTCCTCTACGTTTATCTCCCACCATTGCGGTCACCAAACTAAACTATCCCTTCCTTCCAGCCTTTACAATTTGACATCTTTTTTTACAGCATATCCCAGCCCAGCGAAGGATGAACCTTTATATTTCACTTATTACGAAACTTATTAACAAAGCGAAATCGGTTGTTGCATAAAGATAACAAGGGATTTGTTAGTTAAAATTGGTCATATTGCTTGTTTATTGTATAACTTTTTTTTTACTGCTTAACAATTTACCGTGTGCTTTATACTTTTTTTTTCTTACTATTGTTAAGTGAGAATACTATGTAAAATATTAAAGTATGCGTGAAATATTGTAAAATAATATGTGTAAAATAATCCGACAAACCTATATCGCCGACAACGAATTCAGTGAAATAGAAGGGCTTTCTCGACAGCAGTGTTGAATCGTGATAGTCGTAGGCAATCAGGGCAAAATGACGCTGAGGACGTCCACTATCACCTACCGTTTCGTCCCTCTTCTGTCGCTACAGAGCTTTACAAAAGTAAAGTTGTATCCTTCAAGCAGCACAGAGGATTTTTCACAGCGTGCGCGGAACTTGTCGGTAAAAACCGAAATATTTTTAGTTTTGTGAGATGTGTAGCTTGACTCGTATTATAAAATGTTGCAAATTAGCTCATGTTGATAATCAAGTTCATATGCGATGTCGATATATTGTAAAGAATCTCTAGTCAATGTCAGCATATTACAAAGAATCTCAGGCAGCATATTGCAAAGAATCTCAGGTCGTCTTGGGACAATCAGGTCAACCTCTTGGATTGTTGTAAACAAACTTCCACTACAAAAGGGATTTGGACAGGTAGCAGTCAAGGAGTTTCTATAATTCAGTTCTTCAGTCAGTCACTCATGCAATAGTATACACCAAATCATTGAAAAAACTGTGCGCTCCCAATTAATCAATCAATTCAACCAACTTGGTAACCAACTTTGTATTTAATATTCTCTGGAAATTTCCTTGTAACGTATAATACTTCTCCATCTATCAATAAACCGTCGTCAATCAATGTTCGACTGTCCCTGCACACTAAAATTTCCAAAATTTTCACACAAAATCCCCAACACATGTTAGCATGCATAAACTGCATTAAGCTGCGCGTAATAAGTTTCATGTGCTGCGAATATCTATATTGTGAATAGTTGCAGAGGAGAAAAAAGAGAAAGGTAGAAATATTCTACGATG